GGTTTAGGGTTTAGGGGTTTGGGAAGCCCTAAACTCTCTAAGGACCCTACAATCTCCAAGCCCCCACCCCATGAAGAGGACGGGAAAGATGGAAAGAAGGAGAATGAGGAGGACCCGGAAGATGAGGCGCGGTGCTTGAGATTTGGAGCCCAGACCTCCAGAGTCGTGAGTCTTTTCCTCATCGCTGTGAGCCCTATGCCCTATATTATACCAGGCTCTTAAACCCCAAAACCCAGAACCCCGCCCCCCTCCCGCCCCCCCAAAAAAAAGAGGCCCAAACCTTAACCCCCAAACCTGAAAAGGAGGCTAGAAAGTTGAAAGAGAAGGAGGAAGAGGAGGAGAAGAACCGAGCCTTGTCTCAATCATCTCCAAGCTCGTGGAGGGAGTTTCACCCAGCCCCCAACGAGAAACTCTGACAGCCCTTTCAATCCTAAGCAAGAAATGAATCAGAACTAACCCTACTTCTCCTAGACAACAGCTGAATCAGAACTACAACTACAAGTAGGCAACAGATAGATCAGATAGTCTTACTACTCATAGAACTAAACGAATCAGAACTGCAACTAGGTTACTGCGGTTTTTGCAGAGCACAGTCTAAAGTGTCCAAGCCACTAGACGGGGCCTTCAAACCTAAAGACCTAAACCCTAAACCCTATCTCAGTTAATGCATCTGGGCTCGGTGACATATGCCGTACCCACGAGTCAATGAACTCTGGCCCCGACCAGTAACCCTCGCCTAGGCAAGTCCGAGTGCGAGTGCTGAAACCCTATCTCAGTCTGAGCTCAGGGCTACCACCCAACGAGCGGATCAAGAAGCTCCGCATGGATGTCCACGACAACACGGTGACTCGAATCGTCTTGAAAAGGCCATGACTTGACGCCACTGTACCACAAAGGCTCTAAGGGGTACTATCAGCTTGCACAACTTGTGACGGAACTTAGATATAATGGATTTCTGTATTCTATATGATATATGTACTTAACGATAGACAGATCGACCGATGAGATCTGATTAGATGTGTTGGTAGATAGATAGACAGACATACAGACAGATAGATAGATAGATAGGGCGAATGAAATGGTTTCTCGATCATTAAAGCTTCAATGAGCTCTTTAACGCCCCATGAAACCTCCTCAAACCCTGTGAAATTGTAAGTGCGGAGAACTCAGACGCTAAATCCTACACCCTACTTCCTCTTCGAAAACACCCTGGCCCCTCTAACACTAAAAAAACCCCAAAGACCCCAGGTGAGACTGTGGGAGCGAGCCAAGAAGTCCAGAGATGAGATCGTTGGAGACAAAGCCCTGACGCTTGAACGTCAATACAGTTGCATGTTTGCATGTGTGTGTATGCACAAATACAGACATCTCTGTTCGCGTGTGTGCGCTTATGTGCTGTAATTTTTTGATGAAGACATGTACAAACATACATGTGCATACATATATATATATAATTAATGTCTACAGCTCTAGAGATATAGAGGTATAGATGTACATCTGTCTGTCTGTCTGCCTGTATGTCTGCCTGGCTGTCTGTCTGTCTGTCTGTATGTATCTATGTATGTATGGATGGATGTATGTGTGTGCATGTGTGCAGGCAGGCACATCAAGCCAGGTAGTATACCCGTATACTGTGTGATCGGTAGTCCGCATACAGCTTGCCCTGAAACATTGGTGCGAGCAACAGACGCTTGGTCTTGAAGTGTAAGGCACAAGTGTGCGCACGAATGGCCTTTGTGCAAGTCACTTGTGCATTGACTGGCTGATATCGACTTGGTGCAGACGAGGAAGTCCAATGCACAACCCGCTTTGAACATTCTGCGCCTGTTTGTCGACCGGTTCGTGGCCAATGAGATCAAGACGTTGCGTAACTTGAGTGCACACAGCAGGGCTTCAAGACATTGTCAATACAGATCCAATCCAATGCTCTCGATTCCTCCATGTTGCATCCAGGTCATGACGACACCCGCGGGGCGGAAGCAAAGTTGAGGAAGTTCCTGAAGCAGGGGGCAGAGATTTTGTCGGTAGCTGCTTTAGCCGATGTGCAAGCCACCCTGTCGACCTTGGCGATGCATTTCAACTACCGCCTCATCGCACGAAGCGGCTCGCCGGATCCTTGGCCGCAAGAAGAGACTGCAGTAAACATCTATCGAATCTATCGTCGTTCTTGGTTCTCATGCTGGCCCTGCAGGACATCAAGAACAAGTGTGCTGCTTTGCTAGAAGCTGTTGGTGAAGTTCCTCAGCTCGCAGAGCAGTTCGTGCAGCAGATGGAAGCTGACCTGGCCGATCAGAAGGATCGTGACCGTCGTCGCAAGGAGCGGATGGCCGCAGAGCAGCGCGAGCGTGAGGCACGCGGGGACTTCAGCGGCGATGCTGGGAGCAAAGATACCAAGCAGGAAGCCAAGCAAGAGGCGAAGCAGGAGCCGAAAGATCAGAAGGACCAGAAGAAGGAGGCAAACGGTGGATATCCGGAAACCAAGGCGCCAGAGGCCACGAAGAAGCCGGATCCTTTCGCGGACTTTGATTTCGCAGAGACCAAGAAGCCACAGGCAACAGCAGCAAAAGCAGCTCCGAAATCCGAGGCGGTCGTAGCCAAGAAGGAAGATGATCGTGGGGCCATCCAGGCAGCAGTGAAGCAAAAGAGAACATCGTGGGACGCGGCATTTGACCACCCCTATGCCGGAGCTCTCAAGTCCAACGGGACAGGGATCTATTGCAGACCGTGCCAAAGATGGATCGTCACCTACGAGCGACCTGTCCGCACCCTCGCTCCCGGAGTCGCGAAATACCCCAGCAGCCTGTTTCATCCGAGGTACAACACGGAAGTGTTCTGCACCCACGTTGAGCGAGTACATCCGAAGCCTCCACCCGGTTGGTCCGTTTAGAGGAAAGCCAGTCTGCATAAGACAGCAAAAAGCGACCTTGCAACGGTAGGCAGCAACAGCATGCAGAAACTCGCGAGCTCTGCGCTTCGATGCATCTTCCGGAATGGAAGCTGTGCCCAGGCGACCGGGGCTGTGGAAAGCCCGTCGGCACCCCTCGATTGGCATTAGCAGTAGCAATGCCGTGCTTGTCATACTCTGCTGCTGGATTCAGGGGACATGTGGTGGGAAAAGTCGTGGAGAAGTTAACGGCTTCAGCTGGACCCTCAGACCAATTCTGTTGCACATCTGCCGCTCATGGACTCGAACAACCGTTGCTGAAGGTAATGGCAAGGGGTAAGTGCGGGCGAGAAGGCAAGTCCTGCCTGTTCAAATCTTGAGCACATCGGCACCAGGCACCAACATTATAACATGTACCTGAACTGTGCCAGTTTCAGCCCCTGTAGTAGAGTGTCCGCGAAAATGTAAAGACAGCAATAGTATAATTATGAGCGCCTGCATGTATCATTATGTCACGGCCTTCCGTATCGGAGATGAAATGTACCATTGATGCTGTCGCTGTATGTTTTGTGTGTGTGTGTGACGTGCATGTGCGCCCGCAGACAGACAGACAGACAGACAGACAGACAGACAGCCAGGCAGGCAGGCAGACAGAGAGACAGAGACAGAGACAGAGACAGAGACAGAGACAGAGACAGAGACAGAGACAGAGACAGAGACAGAGACAGAGAGAGAGAGACAGACAGACGGACCGTCCCTCGCGCTGACCGTTGCCTTCCCCCGAAAACCCCAAACATTGTGGGGGGCCCTGTCGGGCCGGGGGGCTTGAGACGCCCCTTACACCCGAAGGAAGAAGACAGACAGACAGAGAGGTTCTTTGCCTCACCCCTCCTGGATGGTGAGGCTTTTCCCTCAGTGCCATTCCCTGCCTTCAAGCGCTGGAGACATCTCGAGATCCGCCAGGGTCCAGTGCTAGACCGCGTGTTGCTGAGCTGGCAGTCTGGGTGCCCTGGAATTCCTGAGCCCCTATAAAAGTCCTTCCTAAACTTAAAACCCCAAAAGCCCATCCTAAATCCACCCCTAAACCCCTCAACCCCCCCCCCC